CTCATTTTGCAACCACCATAGACAAAATGATAAACCAAGAGGCAAAAACGTTAAAAAGTGATAAATGTGGATAAAGATATATGGAAGTTTGCTGTATCATTTTTGTAACTTTTCTATAAGATTGAAAACATTTCTAAATTAAAACAAAAACGAAAATAATACAGTGAGAATAGAGTGGGCAGAAGTATAGATGCAACAAGACAGTTCTTGAGTTGAATAATAGTCCACAATTTTTGCTAATGGATGTTGTCTTAACATTTTTCATAAAAAGTTCTTTTTTTTGTTTTTTTGGAGACAGAGTCTCACTTTGTTGCCCAGTCTAGAGTGACTGCCTGCCGTGGCATCAGCCTAGCTCACAGCAACCTCAGACTCCTGGGCTCAAGTGATCCCGCTGCCTCAGCCTCCCGAGCAGCTGGGACTACAGGCATGCGCCACCATGCCTGGCTAATTTTTTTTTCTATATATATTAGTTGGCCAATTAATTTCTTTCTATTTATAGTAGAGACAGAGTCTCGCTCTTGCTCAGGCTGGTTTCGAACTCCTGACCTTGAGCCATCCTCCCGACTTGGCCTCCCAGAGAGCTAGGATTACAGGCCAGGCGTGAGCCACCACGCCTGGCCTCCTCCATAATTTTAAAGAACTTTTTATGAGGCCGGGTGTGGTGGCTCATGCCTGTAATCCTAGCACTCTGACAGGCTGAGGTGGGCGGATTGCTCGAGGTTAGAAGTTCGAAACCAGCCTGAGCAAGACCCTGTCTCTACTAAAAATAGAAAGAAATTAATTGACCAACTAAAATATATATATATACAAAAAATTAGAATGAGATGTGCACCATCTGGGGGATGGTCATGCTGGAGACTCAGACTTGTGGGGGGGGGGAAATGGGCATTTATTGAAACCTTAAAATCTGTACCCCCATAATATGCCAAAATAAAAAAAAAAAAAAGGAAAAAAAAATTAGCCAGGCATGGTGGCGCATGCCTGTAGTCCCAGCTACTTGGGAGGCTGAGGCAGCAGGATTGCTTGAGCCCAGGAGATTGAGGTTGCTGTGAGCTAGGCTGATGCCACGACACTCACTCTAGCCTGGGCAACAAAGCGAGATTCTGTCTCAAAAAAAAAAAAAAAAATTATGGAGGACACAAAGACAATGTAGGGAACAGAAGAAAAACCCAACAACAACAAAAAGAACATTCTATAGTTAACTTTTCTCAGAGAGATACCCATAGAATAAAAATCAGGATATTATTCCAAAGAAAACAATAGAAGAAGAAACAAATAGGACAGCCAAAGCATTAGAAGGTGATTGATAAAGTTAAGGAAATTTCAAGAAATAGGAAGGAAAAAAGACAAAAGGAAATAGGAAATAAGGCTGGAAAATAGAGGCTCAAACCAGGGGATCAGATATATAACTAGTAGGAATTCCAGAAAGAGAAATAATCAGCAACTGAAAGAGGAAGAAATTATAAAAGGTATAAGGAGTTTCTCATAACTAAAGGATGCAAATTCTCGTTTGAGAGGTCCTGCACCAAGGCCAAGTGTCAGGGTAGACTAAACATACAAGGAGAGAAAGAGAAAGATCTCCCTTTCACGAGAAAGAAGAACTTTTAACTGAGAAATGCAAGTCCTTTAAATTTTTCAGGCCCAGAGAGACATTAAAAAAAGACAACAGTGGTCAGGCATGGTAGTTCATGACTATAATCCTAGCATTTCAGGAGGCCAAGCCAGGAAGATTTCTTGAGACCAGGAGTTTGAGACCAGCCAGATCTGATCTCTACAAAAAAATAGAAAAACTAGCTGGGCGTGGTGAGGAGGCAGGAGGATCATTTGAGTCTAGCAGTTTAAGGTTGTGGTGAGTTTTGATAATGCCACTGCTCTTTAGCCCAGGCAACAGAACAGACCTTGTTGCCAAAAAAAGATAGCAATCACCCTACTCCCCACTTTGAGACTTTGAGCTATTCATTCATCTTTCAAACTGCTTGCTATTTCCACAAATAGCAATAAATTAAGCTAATAATGGCACACCATATACCATAACCCACACCCTACACCTTAATAAGGCATAGCCAATCACTAATCAACGTTATTTCTATAAATCAATGAGGATTCTTGACAATTTTGTATCAGCCCACTCACTGTCCCCCTTTTTTGTCTTTAAGAACCTGCTTACAATAAAGGCCAAATGGAGCTCATATCCAAGGTTACCTGAGATTGAGTCTTCTGGGCAGGTGTCCTCACTTTGGCTCAGGAACACTCTTTATGTTTTGTGCCTCAGCCTCTTCCTTTTAAGTCAACATTTGTGGTGGAGCAGGCAGGATTCAGAGCAACCCACCCCCAACCATCCAACATTCCTCCAAGACTCTGTGCCTAGTCAGCCCTGAATGCCCTGTGTTCTGATTCCAAGAGAAACTGTTGGATGTTTCTCATCCAAAGTGGTGAGTCCTACTGAAAAACCCAGACCTATCCCACTCTTTGGTTGAAGGTCTGGACTTTGCTTGAGCCATTCTTTCAAGCCCTCCCTTTCTAGAACATAGGTTTTCCGTCTTAACCTTGTGGGTCTCCAATTTGGATTACAGGAAAAAGACTGCCTTTTCTTCCTCTGCCTGATGATCAGAGGTTTGGGTAAGGTCAGACAATGAACTGCTCATGGAACTGTTGTTTTTCTGCCTTTTGTCTCCTGACAGTAAGGATCTGAATAGTTTGGCACCAGTGGTCTTATTTTACACAGCATGCTTTAAAAATTGTAGTTACTTTCCTATTGTTTGAAATTTAGGCTTGATTTTTCATTTGTTACCAACTCCTTTTTTTTTTTTTTTTGAGACAGAGTCCTGTCCTGTTGCCCAGGCTAGAGTGCTGTGGCATCAGCTTAGCTCACAGCAACCTCAAGTGATGCTCCTGCCTCAGCCTCCTGAGTAGCTTGGGACTACAGGTGCATGCCAATATGCCCAGCTAAATTTTTCTATTTTTAGTAGAGACAGGGTCTCACTCTTGCTCAGGCTGGTCTGGAACTCCTGAGCTCAAGTGATCCTTCTGCCTCGGCCTTCCAGAGTGCTAGGATTATAGGCGTGAGCCAACTCGCCCAGCCCCAACTCCTATTATTTAATAATTAAACACCAGCTGGGTTTATATATAACACTAAAGGGGTGTGCTCACCTAGAAAGTGGACCCACCTAACCCAGGATGATCTTAAGCAGTCATGGCCAAAATGCGGGTGTCTTAAAATGCCTAAAATAATTTATCTGTATGCACAATTGGAAAAAGCTGGTTTTAGAAGCAAACAAATTGAATAGGACACTTACTTCTAAAGGCACCTAAGAAGATTCTAAAAGAAATTGAGAAAATTGCTTCAAGAGGTAAACAAAAAGATATCCATCACCACCACCTGAGGAAATTTCCCAGGTCTTTGACCTCCTCCCAGAAACTCCTATTGTGGCTGTCATGGAGTCAGTCTAAACCCCTTTATGGGTTCTCTGTCCCATCCTCAAACCACTCTTTGCTCAATTAAACTTTGTTAAATTTGTCTAGAGTTTTTCTTTAAACAGACCGCATATTCAACATAGAGCTCCCAGTGACCAGTTACTAAATCAAACTGGGGTCTGCTCACCCATCGCGGCAAAGCCAGACACCAAAGCCACGAGTTACAGCGGGAGAAAACAGCATTTTTATTGCATGACGCCATGGAAGGAGAACAGGCAGTTAATGCTTAAAACTCCAACTCCCTGATGGCTTACAAGCCAAGGTTTTTAAAAGCAGGGGTACATTTTAGGTAGACAAAATTAAAAATCAATACATGGAAGTTATATATTGGCCTAGCTCAAAAAGTATCCTGATGTGGGGGCCACAGGCCATAGGCAATGAGGACAATAAAATCTTCAACCGCCTGGCCCGGCCTGGAGTAGCACTTCTAATTTCCTTGAACAACTTTTCCTTTGCATTTACAACTCAGCTAACTGTTCAGTGCAACTGGCCTGGCCTGGCTTTCAACCTGCCTTCCTCACTAAGCTTAATAATATCTAGCTTTTGACTTAAAGTGAGAGACATGCAACTCTTCCATTCACTTGAACACTCAAAGGCCGCTATGGGACTATTAGTTGGCCAACTTTGAATATTGTGTTTCAAGGAATAGGGAGGCCCTAGGAGAGGAAGAGTGGGAACAGCTGGTCCCTGGGGCAGTCAGAACATAAAATTATCATTAAGTTCGAGGTCTTATATGGGTGCAGTTTGGGGCACCCCAAAACAATTACAGTAGTAATCTGAGATCACTAATCACAGATCGCTGTGATTAGTGATATGATATCATAACAGATGTGATAAAAGTTTGAAATATTGAGGAAGTACCAAGCTGTGATAGAGACACAAAGTGAGCACATGCTGTTGGAAAAATGGCTACACCAAGAAGGGTTGCCACAAACTTCTGCTGAGTGCAATAAATTAAGGTACGCCTGTACCCAAGTTCCTAATATCATTCAACAAATATTTACTACACAGCTCCACACCTGTTAACGAGAAATTGGAACAGCCTCCTGTAAAATAAAAAACATAAGAACACCGAACCCCTCTCCCACCGGGAGAGGCTTCACGGTCCGTTTGCTACGTTAGCACCTGAGATGGGGCCCGTGAGGTCAGTCGCACACCCTCGCGGGCCACGCAGCAGGGATGTGGAAACCCCTGACTTGCACCCGCGCACGGGCCTGGAGCTCACCGGATGCGCGGGAGGACGCTGCGCCCCCTGTGCTGGGGAGCAGAAGCGCCCCACGGAAACCACTGGAGCGCCGCGCGGGCGGGGACTGTGGCCTCCGAGCGCCGTGATACCCCCTCTTCCCATGTCTCCTTCACTCCCGCACCACAGCCCGGCAGGTAGGCAGCGCGGAAGCCGCGGCTCGGACAGGCGAGTCACCAGGCCCAGCGGGGGCGGCGAGGGGGAGAACCTAAGCTCGCTGCCGGCTCACAGCCAAGAGCCCGAGCCACGCCGAGGCTGGGGGCGATCGGGCCGGGCCTCGTACCTGGGGAAGCCGAGCACTCGGGCTCGGCGCTGGCAGAAGTCTCGGCGGAAGCCGGCCGATCCGGCCGGGACTGCTGCGGCCCGCGCAGCCCACTCCCGCCCCAGCGCGCCTCAGCCGCCATCCCGCGCCGGCCCCGCCCCCGTCTCCATGGCGACGCGGCGCGCGCGGAGCACGCCTCACCCAAACCCCGGAGCTCGCGCAGCCTCAATCGGGCAGGTGGCGCGCCTCGCTCTGGCCGCGACGGAGCGGGCGCGGGGACAGCTGGCCCCGAGGTGCGCGCATGACGCTGTGTAGGCAGTCCAACGGTGGGCTGTGTGCCTCCTCGGCCCCCTTGCTTCTCTCTGAGCTGAGCTTCCTACTATTCCTGATAGGTGAGAGGAGTGGGAGCTGATCCGAGGCGGATCCCCCTCTTGCGCCTCCTGCGGCCAAACACCAGGGATATCCGGCAGCGGACGCAGACCAAAATCCTCCCTCCCCGTCTGCCTCTTGGTTCTCAGGGTGTATTTTTATTATATTTTCTACAATTTTTTTTTTTTTTTTTTGATACAGAGTCTCACTCTTGCCCAGGCTAGAGTGCTGTGGTCTCAGCCTAGCTCACAGCAACCTCAAACTCCTGGGCTCAAGCAATCCTCCTGCCTCAGCCTCCCGAGTACCTGGGACTACAGGCATGCGCCACCATGCCCGGCTAATTTTTTCTATATATATTAGTTGGCCAATTAGTTTCTATTTATAGTAGAGACGGGTCTGGCTCTTGCTCAGGCTAGTTTCGAACTCCTGACCTCAAGCTATCCTCCTGCCTCAGCCTCTCAGTGTTAGGATTACAGGTGTAAGCCACCGCGCCTGGCCTACATGTTAATTTTTGTAATTAAAACATGTTTAAAAAGAGAACTACTTTCAGAGAACAGAACCAACCTTTTGGGGGTGAATCTGAACTTATGTGGCCAAGTAGTTTTAAAATAATTCGGTAAGTTTCAAAGTCCTAATTAACGCTAATATTTATTGTAAAATTAGCCTAAGTACTTTTATGTAATTGTGTAAATTGATATATTTAGCATGCATTAATAAGCATTCTTTCTAGATGACTTGAGCTAATACGCTGATGCTTTCTTCATGTGCATTTATCACTGTCCGCTTTCACTAAGGGATGAAAGCTATTTCCATTTGAATTATAATGAAATTAATTAGTCCTGTCATGAAAGATTATTAGATACCATAACAGGATAGAAAAGCTAGTGCAGTAGCCATTATTTGGTGTCAAGATCTGTATTAAGTACTTCCCATATATAAAATCAAAGATGTGAAGTACCAGAACAGGTCTAGGCTCTGCAAATAATTTGCTATGTGGTCTTCTAGGAGTTCATTAATAATTTCTGTCTTTCTAGTTCTTAACCTGAAGATACGATGTGACAACTGTAAAACTGTTCAAAGCCTGGCTTCTTGGAACTAGGAATTACCTCTAGAGGAAGAAAAACTTAGTAGGAAAAAACCCATTCTGAGAGGGGCAATCCTAATCTGAGATGAGACTGCTGAAGGTCATGGCCTGGCATTAAACTCTCACAGGTGATCTCATAATTTATAAGTGTCTTATATTTTCATTTGCTTTTCTACTGTTCTTGGACTGCCAGCTTCCCCAACTGACTGAACCTTTGAGTCTCCTTATGCCAAACTTTGAACTGATTTGAACCTAAACCAAGAAATTACAAATGTTTAGTAAAGAACTAGAATAAATCATTTCTCTTTTGCTCTCAAAGGGGTTTCTCAAACTATTTGAAAATTGATTATTGGCTGCAAAAGGGGGCATTTAGAACACAAATTTTCATTCCTGCCAAGAAGAATAACATTCAAAAGCTACAATGAAAACAATTTATAAGCATCTAGTGTTTTTTTTTTTTTTTTTTTTTTTTTTTTGAGTGCCCTCAGCCTAGCTCACAGCAACCTCAAACTCCTGGGCTCAAGCGATCCTTCTGTCTCAGCCTCCTGAGTAGCTGGGACTACAGGCATGCACCACCATGCCCGGCTAATTTTTTGTATATATTTTTAGTTGGCCAATTAATTTCTTTCCATTTATAGTAGAGACGGGGTCTCGCTCTTGCTTAGGCTGGTTTCGAACCCCTGACCTCGAGCAATCCGCCCGCCTCGGCCTCCCAGAGAGCTAGGATTACAGGCGTGAGCCACCGCGCCCGGCCCAGCATCTAGTGTTTGTATGGCACAGGTGAAAGAAGTTTACCTTCTATTCCTAGATAACTGTTTTCTTTTACAAGGACAGGTAAGAGTGAGTTGAGCCCAGAGTTCTACAAGACATTAAAGAAGAGCCAGGCCACGATCATAACTAAAATGCCTTGGACACTGATTTCATGTATGGCTTGTGGTAGATTTAAAACATGCCCAAAATTCTTTGTCGCTCCTCCCATATAAAGGTGGAGACTAAGTCCTTTTCCCCTAAATACAGGCCAGCCTTAGTGACTTTTTAAGGAACAGAATGTGGCACATGGCAGAACTGACACTGACTCTGAGGCTAGGTTAGGAAAGGCAATAGAGCAATTATATCTGGCTCTCTCGTTTTCTCTCTGAACACTCGCCCTTGGAATCCAGCCATCATATTGTGAGGACTCAGACCACATGGAGAGGCCATGTGTAAGTATTCCAGTGACAGCTCTAGTGATCGCAGCTGACAGCCACGGTCAACCACCAAACGTGTAAGTGAGCCTTCAGATGATCCTAGCCTACATCATTTGAGCTGCCCCAGCTGATGCTGAATGGAGCAGACCAGCTGTCTCAGCTGGATCTGGCCCAATTTGCAGAGTTGGAAGCAAAATAAAGGTTTGAAGCCACTGAGTTTTGGGGTGGTTTATTACACAGCAATAACCCGAGCAGTGTTTTTAATGTTATCTATAATTCCCTCTAGAAGCCTGAGAAGTAGGTACTACTGCTATCCTTTTCTGAAAGATGAAGACACATCCAGAGTTTCAGAGGGGTAAAATGCCTGCCTTAGGTTTCACACTAATTGGCAAAGCCAGGCTTTAATAGCTTCAAAGAATAAGTCTTCTCCACTACTCTAGAAAAGTCTCCAAGACATTAATGGGAATTAGATCTGCTTCTACGCACTTTAGGAAGAACTTGGATTATAAAAGCCTGATTTTTAAAATAAAAATGACCATTAATCACCTGCAATGTATCTCTGCATAGGCTTAAAAAAAAACAACTCAGCAGTTTTATGGAGGTTACAAGGTTTTTACCCACCTTATCTTGTTTAATCCTGACAACTGCCCTATGAGTGGGTTATCTTCTCAATTTTACAGAAGAGAAAACTGAGGCTCACTCCAAGGACAAATTACCTAGTTCCACACCTTGTAGGAAGTGGCAGAGATGGGATGCAAACTCAAGCCCCACTTGCAAATGTTTCCCTTTACCTCTTGCTGGCAAAAAAAGATAGTTTGTAAGAATCTTTATTCAATAATACAGACGAAAAGAAAAACGTTAGCATTGTTCTGTTGTCAAGACTCACAGAAGGGAGCATAGTGGTCACTGCCCAACCTCCTAATTACACAAGTTAAAAAAGTAAAGTCCAAAGAAACTAGGTCTCTTGAATGAACTGTAGGCTTCGCTGCCCTTTGACGAGAAAAACTGCGTTCCCCTTCACACTCATGTATCATTTCATGTCAATTCTGCGCAGTACCACAGGGCAGAAAACAGGGCTTTGACACCTCTGCAGACCAGGCTCACAAATGACCTGTTTCCCAGCTTGGCACTTGCTGGCCCTGCTCACATATTTGCATTTCTCTGCCCGCCCCCTGCCCCCCAGAGTCTCAGCTTTACGTTCTAGGCATTTGACGTTTGCGATGTCACATTCTCCCAACCACACTCGCACTTCCCCTTCCCATGCAGTTTATGGGCGGGAAAAAACATTAACTAATTTCTCAGTTGCCTTTATTGTCTATCAAAGGCAACCGTGGCAAGCTGGCTTATTAATGCAGCAGCCAGTAATTTCGTTTAACTCTCATAAATTTACAGAGACCATCTTAGAGCGAAACTCAGATAAGTCAGAGAAGGCTCGAAAATGCGCAAGTTCTCCCAACCCAGATTCCCACTGGCGCGAGCTGTACACATGCAATGGTGGTCGCGCCCAGCTTGCGACCCAGGACCACCTCGCCGCCGCCTTCCCAGAGCGGCGAGGCGCGGCTCCCGGGCCCCAAGCGCCGCCTGCTTCCCCTCCCAGCCCCGCGCAGCGCGCGTGGGAACGCGGCGCCCTCCCCGGGCTGCCCACGGCGACCGCCTGCGCGCACGCGGACAGGTTGCCGCCGCCCCCACCGCGGCCTCTTCGCCGCCGCCGCCGTCTCCTCCCTGCCGCCGCCTCCCCGCCGCCGGGCCCGCGCAGGGGCCGGCGTCCGGGGAGCGCGCCGCGATGTCGCTCCTTTCCGCCCGGCACCACGGCAGCCACCTCACATCCGGGCGCGCGGCGGCGAAGGCGGCGCCCGGCCCGGGTGCGTGGAGGGAGTTATTAAGGGGGAGGGGGCCGGAGAGGAGGGGCGGAGGGCCGGGCCGCAGTTACGGCGGCTGAAGAGAGACAGCCCGGGCCGGTGGGGGGGCGAGAGCGAAGGCCGCGGGGAGCAGCGCTCGGACCCGCGCGGGCGGCGGGGAGGGAGGCGGCGGCGGAGGCGAAGAGGGGCCGCCGAGCGGCAGAGGGACCGAGTAAGGGCCGGCGGCGGCAGCGGGCTTCGGGGCGCTGCGCCGGTGCCCGCGGGGAGAGAAGGGGCGCGGGCGCGCTGCTCCTGGGGTCGCGTGCGTGAGCGCGGGCGCCGGGGCGCGCGGGGGGCAGGGCGGCGAAGGCCGCAGGGCGGCCGCGGCAGCGGCGGCTGGCGCCCGAGCCGCCGGGCCGGGGCGGACGGCGGCGGGCCTGCGCCAGCTCCAGCTCGAAGTGCCCGGGCCGGGGGATTTGGCCTCCCTGCTCCCCCGGCCGGCCTTTCCTCAGTGAGTGCCGTCCCCGCCCTTCCTCCGAGGGAGGCCGCTCGGCTAGGGCCTGCGCGAGGGGCCGGGGGGTTGAGGTGGCGGCGCGGGGAAGCCGAGTTTCAGAGCTGAAGCCGGTGCTGGTCCTTTCCTTGCTCCGGGCTCCCGTGACATGGCCACAGGTGCGGCCGGCCGGGCGAGGGGCGCTGGGGCCCGGTCCCCGGTCCTTGACCCCTGAGTAATAAGGGGCAGCTGGCGCCGTCCATTGGCAAGTGACAGGCACTTTACAACAGCCCGACTTCGCAGATCCCCCGAAACCAACCAGTCTCCTACCTGCCCCCACTCTAGGAAACTTCCCCACGAATGGTCCTCACGGGTGGCAGCGACTAATCTTGGTTTCTTTTTGTATTAAAAGCTGCTTAAAGGTTATCCCTTCAGTTTGACATCTTCCACTTCTGCTTTTACCCTGTTGATGCTTAGAATACTAGGAGGGATAACTAAGTACCAGTGGTTCTATTTACAAGTTGGTTCTGATTTGTAGCATAATTTTTGGGTGGGGGCTTGTTTTTTAAAACTAGCTATTTTAAGAGAAAAGTTTCAGTTTCTTAAACAGCCAAGATGGCTGAAAACTAACTTCTCAGAATTTTGTGCTGATTTATCTTCCAGGTGCAAAGAATTGTAGATCAAGGAGCCATGGATAGGAGAAGTGTGGGTGAAATAGAAAATGGAGATGCTTTCCTTGACCTGAAGAAGCTGCCGGCCTCCAAATCCCCCCATCGCTATACAAAAGTAAGCTTTGTTACTAATGAAATATTGTTTCTTTATAGGTGGCAAAGTTAGTAACATTGTGTAGGTATTTTACTGGTATTACTCTAAAGTGGAAGTTTCATTCTGACTTGCTATTTGGATTAAATATTAACTAAATTTAGTAAAGCATTGCTTTGAACATTTTTCTGGAAGTATAAATATTACGAGTTTTAGTTGGAATTTGCTTGAAGAAGCTTTTCTAGGTGAAGAGGATGTCAGCTCAGATCCCATGTATAAATTTGTTGATCGGTATACATTGGCATATTTAAGTTCTGTAACAGTTGTGTAATTGGTATGTTATTGACTCAGATACTGTAGGGTGAGGATTCTGTTTCTAGAATGCCTCACAAAATCGGTATCCTCTGTATTGACGTTTCCGTGAGAGGCAAACTGCATAGGAATGCTCTTTAGTGTGCTTGGCTAGGGTAACTGAATTTTTTTGTTTGCTTGTTTGCTTTCTATCACAGATTGGATATGGACTCAGAAAAGTAAGGCTTCAGTCATATTTCCACTAGCTAAAAATTTATGGTGATTTTTAAAACTGCTGATCTAGATATCTAATGAGGGGGTAATCTTATATTAAAGATCTTCAGTATATATCTTATTGGCTACTAAATGTTTCTAGAGAACTTGACAGGACTTGGTGAGCTATAAATGTGTTGCTGGGTCCCTGACATGTATTGGGCTGGATTATATAAAGCCTGCTCAACAGTGTTAAAGCAATTGGACTGTTGGAAGGGTTGGGCTCATATTTATATTTCTTTAGTACAGACCCAGTCATGGACTCTAACAGGACTTATTGTCCCTGGCTTCCCAGGTTAATGGGGTTTTTTTTTGTTTGTTTGTGGTTTTTTTTTTTTTTTGGAGACAGAGTCTCACTGTGTTGCTCGGGATAGAGTGCCATGGCATCAGCCTAGCTCACAGCAACCTCAAACTTCTGGGCTTAAGCGATCCTCCTGCCTCAGCCTCCCAAGTAGCTGGGACTACAGGCGTGTGCCACCACACCCAGCTACTTTTTTCTGTATTTGTCCAGCTAATTTCTTTCTATTTTTAGTAGAGATGGGGGTCTTGCTCTGGCTGGTCTCGAACTCCAGACGTCGAGCGATCTTCCCTCCTCGGTCTCCCAGAATTGCTAGGATTACAGGCGTGAGCCGTGGCGCCTGGCCCCAGGTTAATGTTTTAAAGCTAAGCTTTGTTTGTGTACGTGCCACTACTCTTACCTACTTGATAAAGTATCAAATGCTGTCAGATTAATGCCTGTTTTCAGCATTTACACTGAACCCGTCCGGGGGAAAAACAGTTTTCAGGTGTAAAAGTGTTCTTGGTTAATTGCTGTCCTTAGCACAGTCTGTTTTGATATGATAGCATGTGAGTTGATAGCATTTTAGTTCTGCATTCAGATTTGTTTTTCTAAAATGTATTTTCTCTCAGACCTGACAGAGCTTGAGTAGTGTTTCACAACCTAAATTCATTTCTTAAAATGTTGACAGGTGAATTCTGAATGGAGAAAAGCTTATCAAATAAAGGGAAGCTGAAATCTCCCAGTACTTTCTGAATTAAAGTTGTAACTGGTACTGTAGAGTCTAGGCAAAGAGGCTTTTGAATCTCTTCACATAGTGATGAGAAGGTGGCATGTATATTTCTGTCTTTATGTTTAAGTCATATTTAGGAAGATTTTATTAGTCTCTCTTCGGGTAGGACTTATGTTTGTTCACAGTAAAGATTAAGAACTTCAATATTGTCCTTTATTTTGTAGAGACAGAGTCTCGCTCTTTGTCCAAGCTGGAGTGCAGTGGCATGATCATAGCTCACTGCAGCCTTGAACTCCTGGGCTCAAGCAGGCCTCCTCTCTCAGCCTTCTGAGTCGCTAGGACTGTAGGCGTGTGCCACCTTGATAAGCTAATTTTTCTATTTTTTGTAGAGATGGGGTCTTGCTGGGTTGCCCAGGTTGGTATCTAACTCCTGGGCTTAAGCAATTCTCCTACCTCAGCCTCCCAAAGCAGTGGGATTACAAGTATGAACCACTGTGCCAGACCCTCATTTTTGACATTCTCATGTCAGAATTCTGTCATACTTAGATAAATGTGCCTTAAAGAACTGGTTAAAAGCATTTAGTAGGTTAATGACAATGGCACTTAGATTTAACAGTCTTCTCTACCAAATTTAGTTGGAAATAGGTGTACTTTCCACTCCAATAGGATTTAGATAATGGCAGTTTTAGGACAGTGTTTAGGCAGTGTCAGAGTAGTGTTTTCATATACATACTCTAATAATTTTATGTACATACATACTCTAATAATTTGATAACTAAGTCTTTCTGCCTTTGAAGAGAGTTGAAATGGTCCTGCATTCTGAACACTATAATAAATGTCCTGTTAGTTCCACAATTGGAATAATATTTGAGCCATCCTACTTCCTCCCCTACATACTGAGATCAAACTATGTGAATAAAGAAAGAGTTCACAGGCTAGGAGGTCCAGAAGCAGTAGAAGGAAACTGTTCTTGTCAGTCTTGATTTTCTTTTTTTCTTTTAAAACTACAGCACCCAGTATTCCCCAGTGGTCGCCCACCCATGTACTAACCACACCCAACACTGCTTAGCCTCTGAGATTAGATGAGATTGGGTGCATTCAGGGTGGTATGGCTGTAGACTCATCAGTGATTTTTTTTTTTTATAGGTGATGTAGTCTGTGGAAACCTTTGTAGATGTGGATGTTTACTCACATGATCAAAAAAACACATTGGCCAGATGAAAGGGCCCCTTAGACCTTTGACCTTCAGCATTTAGTTGCTTCTGAGATAACTTTAATAGTCTGTTCAGAATTTGAAGAGTTTTTTACCCCCATGAAGGTGGAAGAGTGCAAGTATTTGGTCAGGTGCTTTTCAGGGTAACATACAGAGTTTCCCTGTGTTGACATCCTTTAGGCCAGCTTCTCAAATGTTAACGTCCCCAGGGGATCCCCTACAGGCTTTGGTAAAGTATGAATTCTGAGTGGTAGGTCAGGGTGGGCCTGAAGATTCTGCCTTTTAACCAGTTCCCAGATTTGAGTATCAAGGCTTTAGTGTTCCTTGGAGAACTTGATAAAGGGTGTTGGTGTTGTCAGACAACTCAGATGCACTATTACTCTTCAGGGTTCGGACGGTATTCATTGTGCTTCCGACAATATCTCAGGAACCCAAGTTAGAGTCACGTGAGTTACTTTCAGGCCTACTCCTGTGCCTCGGTGATGATTAACTGGGATGGTTATAAGTGGGTTTATTATATACACGTGTTATCCTGAGGTCGTTGAGCCCCTAATTTATAAACTCGGATCTATTTTGCTAGGCCAGTTTCCAAAGACCAATAGCTATGTTTTGGTAGTGTTTAAATACGCATTTTAAAGTGACTGGATCGTGTTAAATGACTTTTGGAGGTTACAGAATAGGGTCTCATCTGAAAGTTGTGGATTAAAAGTGGTTTAGGCAGTGGTTCTCAAAGTGTAGTCCCTGAAAAAGCATTAGTATCATCTCATATGGTAACTTGTTAGAAATACAAATCTTAGGCCCCTTCCCAGTGGTATTGAATGAGAAACTCTGGGGGTAGGGCCTAGCCCTATGCATTTAGCAAGTTTTTCAGGGGATTCTGACTCAGGTTTGAGTTTGAGAACCATTGGCTTAGGAAACAGGAGGCAGTGGTGCTCATTAGTAGAAAAATTTGGAGGGACTCATACAACTTTTTCTTCATCAGAGGCCTTTTTTTAAAACCAGTTCTTGAGGTATATAGTACCTGCTGTTTTGTTAGTGATGCTATCTTCTGCTTGAAATGTGAAATTGAAACATTTTAGGCCTCCTGACTATTCAGATCCATGTTTTTTTCTTCAGATGAGTAAGCTGATCTTCTTAGGTCAGGGTATACATACTCCGTGCTGTTCCTCCTTTGCTCCTGTATTTTGCTACTGATTCTTATTAAATGGCTGTCATCTGCCAGTTGGATAGGCAATTAAACATTTAGGACATTCAGCTCAATACTGACCAGTGTCAAGCATGCATGTTAAACCTGCCAACCAAAAAGTAGCTGTTGGATTTTATGAGTTTAACTTCATGTGGGCTCTTCATTACTTTGACTAGTTATGAATTGGTTTTGACTGGCTTTAAAAAAATTTAAAAAATTTAAAATGGGAATCTTTTTTTTTTTTTTTTTTTTTTTTTTTGAGACAGAGTTTCACTCTGTTGCCTGGGCTAGAGTGCTGTGGCGTCAGCCTAGCTCACAGCAACTTCAAACTCCTGGGCTCAAGCAATCCTACTGCCTCAGCCTCCTGAGTAGCTGAGACTACAGGCATGCGTGCCACCATGCCTGGCTAATTTTTTCTATATATTTTTAGTTAGCCAATTAATTTCTTTCTAGTTTTTAGTAGAGATGGGGTCTGTCTCTTGCTCAGGCTGGTTTTGAACTCCTGACCTTGAGCAATCCTCCCTCCTTGGCCTCCCAGAGTGCTAGGATTACATGCGTGAGCCACCACGCCGGCCCTGTATCTGGAAATCTTTAAAGGAGGCTACCTTGATTTGTGGCTGGTGGGCCAGTTGATCATAGTGATTGCTACAGCCATGTTTGTCTTTGCTTTAAAATTATAAAGAAAACAAACAAGCAACTGAAATGGACTGATTTGAGTTAATCTTCCTAGCTTTCTTTGAGAGAGTCAGTTATGAAACTTGAAGCCAAGCCCTCTGAGACAAGAGTAACTGATTTAAATCCTAGGTTGAAATCAAGAATATGATGGTTAGTTTTTCCTATGTAGAAATCTTGTTTTAACTGTATATGTATATTTCTTTAAGAAGAAAGATACAACTGAGATGAGTAGTAACCTCTAACAGGTGGCATTTCAGTGACATACTTAGCTACAAACTTCTTAAGCTAGTATAAAAATAGGGATACATATTTATATTGGGGAAGGCATGAAAAATCTTTATTCAATCTTAATGTGTCAGCTGCCCAGAAAACCTAG